AAGGGCTTTGGGTTAATTTTCCTCGGCGACGAGGGTGCGAAGAGAAGGGAAGGATGGAAGAGAAAAGAACGAGAGTTTCTCTCTCTTCTTATTTGAAACCTGAAAATAAACATGAGGGAGGAAGAGAAAAACCCTATAATTGGGTTTATATATGCCAATCGAAACGGTTTAGTTTTACACTAATTCCTTATCGTGTTTTTCAAGTTTTAGGGTAAATAGCCGTTTAGGTCCCCTCCTTTTTTGTAATCTCTTGATTTGGTCATTGAATGAAAATATGATATTTTGTTTCAGACATTTGTTTTTCAATATTTATGTTTAAGTCACCATCTTATATGTTATGCCATTTTGTTAATATTTGACTATGGTTATAGTATTTGTAAATCTTTCATTTCAGTCCTTACTTTGTATATCGTGACTTTTAGGTATAATTTTTTATTTACCTTACGAATTTCTATTTTGTTTTATTTTGGTCCTATATGTTGCTTTGGGATTTATTTCTGTTTTAGTACTCATATTATGTAATATTTGTATATTAGTTATGATTTGTTATATTATTATTGTTTTAACTCTAGAGTTGTTGTTCTTGCTATTTAATCCTTATTTACTAGGTATGACTAGAATCTTATTATTATTTTAATTTATCATGTTTGTAAATGTACATTTTAGTCCAAATTTATAACTTTGTTTTATCGATTGTTATAATTTCATGTATGTATGTATATAAATTATGTAATTGTTATAAGCATTCTTTGTATGAAAATTTTTATATCTTTTTTAATTATGAGCATATTTAGATAATTATTAACACCTTTTTTTTTTTATAAATCATCATTGTTTTCTAAAATATACGAAAATGAGAAAATTTCATTGTGAGGGAAATCTACTAAGACATCTCTCAACTACATGGGAAGATATCTTTTCGAGGATTTTTCGCACAAAATTTTTTTTATTCAATCGTTTTCTTTGCTTTACGTTTATTTATTTTGATTATTTTTTACCTCTATTCATTTTTATTTTGTTTCATCTTAGTTTATTTTATTTTTGTGAAAAATGTTAAATAATGTCTTTTTGTGAGGGGAATCTATGGGAAAGTCTCCTAACTATAAAGGAAGTGCATTCCCTAAGATTGTTCACACAAAAGGGTATTCATTATCCGAAAATTGGCAATTTTTAATAAAGTCAAATGAATAAAAGGATCATAATTTAATTATGTTTTCGAGTTTGTAATTCCCAGTATTTAAACGTCATACAATCATTTAGATACCAAAATTTGGGTGTTGTGGGGGCTCTCACCCTTCCCCACACGTAATCGACTCCCTAACTCTTAAAAATGAATTTTTGATAAAACACAAACCATTGTTTTTCTTTTAAGGTTTTCGACATACCTAACTTAAAGGTTGGTGGCAACTCTAAAATCGAAGTGTTTTCAAAATTATATTTCATCGCCTTCCTCAAATTGATTTTTTTAAAGTCTAACGGATCCCCGAGGGAGACATTATGATACATATGATGCAAACATGCCTTTAGCATTTAAATAAAAAAATGAAATAAAAACACAGTTCATGCATTATACAATTTATTAAGGTATAAATGTTCATAATAAATTGGCATTCAAACATGTATTATATATATATATATATATATGTATATATAAACTAATTAAAACCATAATATGTAGACATATACACACAAGAAATGACATAGCATAGTAAAACAAGCTAATATATATATATATATATATATATATATTACTCACGTGACAAAATGAGGACTATGAAAAATTTAAGAATCAAGTCAGAACAAATAATAAATATATATAGGGGTACATCAAACAATAACCCAACTAAAATGGTGGCCAAAATAAATATACGACAAACCTATGCGGATTTAAAACAGAAATTGAGCATGAAACTATGTATTAAACAACAACAACAACAACAACAAAACCCTATTCCCATATGAAACAAGTAGGACTAAATCAGAATAAACAAAAATTACAAGCAGACATCAAAATATTAATCCATGCAATTTCATGCAATTTTAAGAAAAATGGTGATAAAAATGAATTCATGGCAAGACTACAATGACCTACATCATAAATAAGATATTTTCGAACACACAACAATACTATGGACTAAAATGCTATAAATTAAAATTCACAAATCACATCACAAATTTAACCAATACATAAATAAAAGACACAATGACTAAAATATAAAAACAAAAGGATACAAACATTGTATGGCCCCTTGGGATACAAACATTGGATGACCCCTTGGGTGGTTTACTTATACGCTAGTTTCAGGAAACCCTAACCCTCAAAACTACGTCATTTTGAGTTTGATATATAACCAATATTTTGGCTTTGTGGAAACCATAGCCCCCATTTTTATTTCTTAAGAGAGAGGAAGAGAGAACAAACTCTCTCAAATTCCCCCTCACCGAAGGCAAAGTCACTGCTCGCTGGTGGCCTCCACTGTCGCTCATAGTGGCTGGAGGAGAGGCAAAATACCCCGAAAGGCTCGCCCTACTTCTCTAAACCCAAATCCTACCTTATTTCTTCTTCTTAAAACTAATCCTAAAAGCCTAGATTAATGGAGAAGTTCCAAAAAACTATATTCCTCCACTATGAAAATCACTGCCTGATGGTGATGTATTTTAGATATGTTCTTGCCGGCCACGGGATGGATCTTCTCATCGCTTGGATCTTCGGTTTGAAGGCTATAAGGTAAGATTTTGATGATTTTTTGTTTTTTTCTCTCTCCCCCGATTCTTTTTTTTGGGCTATGATCTCTTTCCCCTCGATTCTTTTTTTTTCGATATCTCTTCCCTCTTTTTCTGGTCGATTGCATGTTATATAAAAAGGGTTCTATGTGTTTTTGGTAAGGGTTTACAGAGATGACGACGATTTCAAAGTGGGGATTGGGAAATCCCAGATTTTTCAAGATTAGATTGTTTATTTTTTTTTTGATTGATTTGGTTTGATGATATTTTTTAAACATGGGTTTCGATCTGGAAAGGGGGTTTCGTCAGCGATGGCGTGGCCGACAATTGCGTGCTCTGACGATGGCTTTTTCGGTTGGCAATGGCGACGATAAGCTCCTCGATAATGAGCGGTGATGACTACTATTGATGGCTTGGGGTTAGCCAAACTAGTTTAAGATGCGGGCTATTAGGGTTAGGGATGGGCATGGGACCTGAACCCGACGAGACTCGACCCGACACGATTGGGTTGGTTTTTTTAAAAAAAAATTCGGGTTCGGGTTGAGTTTGGGTTTAGGGTGAAAAATACCCTACCCGACCCGAAAAAATATAATTTTATCTTATATATTTAGGAATAATTATAATAATACCCATCTATATATTATTTTTTCAATTAAGTAATTGTTTTTATTGAATAAAAATAATATTTTTTATTATTTCGAGTTGGATCGGATTGGGTCAGGTTTTTAAGTTATATATCGAGTCGGGTTCGAGTTTGGGTGAAATCTTGTTTCATGCGGGTCGGATCTCGGGTGAAGGATTCATTATTCTCGGGTCGGGTGAACCAAAAATCCGACCTAACTCAACCGATGCCCATCCCTAATTAAGGTTTTGTGTTTTGAGCCCACTGTTAGACTTGTTGTTGGGCTTCGGGTCATTGTGCCTTGTAATATGTAAAATAAAAAAAAATAAAATAATAATATTAATAATAATAATATAATAATAATAATATTAAATAGTTTCGACCGGACAAAAACGGTGTCAACACTCAAATTATAATTAGATTTGCCTTAAAAAGTAGATTTGCCTTAAAAAGTAGATTTGCCTTAAAAGTAAGTGTTCACGCATTAACATGCAACACTATATTTTCACAACAAAAATAAAATAAGAAATTATTAGTTTGATATTAGAAGTTAAATAATCCATAACTTGGCATTTGGGAGATTTTTAAAGTTTTTTATCCGAGCCGTGATTAAACTTTTTTTTTTCTTTTGTAATCAGTGGCGACATCATCTTAAATTTTAATATTAGTCATCGATCATCGATATTCGTTTTTTATTTATTATGTCATATCTTTATGTTTTTCTTGTTTTTAAATTTTTAATAACTCTGCATTTGTGGCACGTTTTCGTTTATTTGATTATATTTTTTAATAATTTTTATATAGTTATTGTGTGTTATTATGTAGATAGTTTCTTATGTTAGTGATTATAGAAAAATATTCTTATTATATGCGTTAGTTTACGTTTGTGGTTATAAGTTTTCATTGTAATTTAGATATTTTTCTATTTCTAATAAAACTAACCATTTCTATTTTGTAAATTTTTTTTTGTTAAATCCTTTTTTTATGGAAATTAAGACTTAAACTATTCTTTTAAAAATAAAATATAATCCAACATAATTTTTTTAATGGATAAATTAATACTCGTTAGTGTATATTATCAAGAGAATCTATGAAATATCGTTTTTTGAGCTGTTGGTTGAACTCTCAATAATCAATTGATATTATTTTAGATTGGGATTTATTCTCTAACTCTATCAAGAGAGGTCAAAGAATTCACTGATTCAAAATTATCTTGTGTGCTTGAACATGTACATAAAACCACCAAAAAGGATTAAAGAGTTTGTGTTTGATGGAGTTTGAACCTATAAGTCCATACAAATGTCATATAGACCTTAAAACATGGGTTCAAACTCTATCAAGCACAAATTCTTTAGTTTCGGCTAACCTACTGATGCACGGAAGATGTCAGAATCCTTTAGTGACCCTCGATATAAACAAGAGATAAAACCTTAAGATAATAATGATCAACTATTGAGAGTTAGGTCGATTGTTTAACACGCGTTCTTTCAAAGGAAACAAAAGAAATTCCCTCAATAACAAGACCTGTGGGTCTTGTATTTTTGTGAGCAAGATTAATATGAACCTAGAATTGTGTAGCCCGTCTCTTTTTCAACGTAACTTTGAATGAAGCTGATAATGTGAAGGAAACGACAGAGAATCACACTACATATAAAAACAAAAAGGTTATTATCATGGATTAGTGTAATATTGTTACAATTGGACAATAAGAAAAACCCTTTCCTCTACCTCGGATAAGTACCTCAACATCTCACTTAGAATTGTCCCCATTCATATAGTCAGATCTAGAGTACTTACCCTTCTTCCACTCTCCCTACTATGGTTTTCTCCTTTCAATCTGCTAACTTTTGGCAGTGACGGTGACGGCGAGCACAACGATAGTGACAACTCACCCCCGACATCTTCTTCCTCCACGTATCGCCGCCGCTCTTCGTTCAGCCGTAAAGATAGATCCAAGTCGAGGTTGCTGTCCGATATCGGTCTTTTCGCCCTACGCTCTTGTGCACTGTTTCGGCTAAAACTTGTCTCATCTTTAGCTTGACTACTTGGCGGAGTAAGGAACGATGACAATTCATTCTTCAATACATTGAAAGGGGAAGCATGATTGGTCGTCCAATTACTGCCAAAGATCCTCTCTGTCACGGTTCCATGCAATCCCGGTCTTTGTTCATCGATGAAACTCCGGCTTGTATAAGGATTACGCATCGAGAACTGGCGGCCATTCCAAGAAGCATCGCCGTATCTTAAAAAGAAGCAAAAAATTGGGTTTAAACTACAATAGTACGCACGTGCATTTATTGGTGCTTGATTAATTTAGTACCTTAAAGTGTTAGAACTATAGCTTTGGTGATTCTTATAGCCTTGCAGCATGGGAAGTTGGTTGAAGTTATAAATATTTCGATCTCCACTTTCCACAAGATGCCTATGATCATTCATGACTGCCATATGTAAAGGTATGCATTAGAGACGACGATTGATCGAAACCCTAATTGAAACTACATAAGTTACCTTGTCCTGGATCATCAATCTTCTTGCTTCTATACATCTGAAGAAAAATTAGTCCCCAAAGTTGAAGGAAAAGATTGTTAGAACAAAAAATAAAAATAAAAAATCAAAGGGTTCTCTCCTATTGATCCTATTAGTCAATCTACAGATTTTAATTACTAACCTGTAGGTGGCTCTTGACATGAGCGATGCTAAGTCCTTTAATGTTCATCAGCTGAAGAACCAACTTCGGGGTAGCTCCTATATCGAAGTGAGAAGATGAGTTGAAAAAATTGCAGAGAAATTAAGATAAGACTAGAGATTCGATGATGGAGTCTCACTTTCTTGTCCACCGAGTCTTTCGACGGCGTGAATGAAGCGAAGGTGGAGGTCCGGTGTCCATCGGAGCCTCGACGTCTTGGATCTGACATAAGGCCTAACGGATGGCTTCTTATCGTTCTCTTCCACCGTGCTGTTGCTCGAGTTTCCTACATTTCTAGGTCTACTTTCACCGTCGTTCTCTTCGGTTTCGCTCTCTGCCTCCGGTGGAGCCTGGTTTTGTGTAGATGGGGTGGTTGTTGTCTTTGAGCATTCGGTGCTGCTTTTTCTCTCCATCTTGATTTCCAAGCTCGGTTTCAATTAACATCCAAGTAAAGGAATCATAGCAAGAAATTTGGAGGGCTGAAAAATCTTAATAATTTGTAATAATTTGGTGGATCAACACAAACTCGATTTTGATCTTCTTGTAAAGGGAAAACAGAGAGAAAACTAGCTGAAAGGACGACTCTAAGCAAACGTATACAGATCTTTGAACAGATTGGAAAGCCCTAGATCTTGACAGGGAAGACCGACAAACCTGTTTCTCTCTTGGGATTGGGACTAACAAATATATATATTTTTTTACTTCTATCCCTCATGGTATATATATTAATAACCATATAACACATACATGGATGCCCATATAACACATACATGCATGCATGGATGGATGTCAAGTCATGCATTGAAGATATGAAACTAGGGATAAGTTAGTGGCTTGGCATGGAATTAGAGATTCTCATCATACTATTTTAAGAAAATTTGTCCCCAGGCTAAATATAAGAAAAGAATTTCGTGTGACTCAAGATGGCGGCCCTGTTGACATTGTTCCCTCTCCAAAAGACCCTTTTTTCTTATGTATTATTCTATGATGAGTATTATATCGAAAAGAAATCAAGAATTTTATTAAGAAGTCGAGATAAAATTTAAAATTCGATAATATTTAAATAAAGAAGAATAAAATGAGCTATAGATGATTTTTGTTCGTACTAAAATTTGATTCGATTTTAAATATGAATGTCGAGGAACGAGTCACGTTGAGAGTAGAGATGTTAAAGGGCGAGGGATGGGATGCATGCCTGAGTTAATTTTAGAATGTGATGCTAAGATGCAGACCCAAACTCAGAAAAAAGATTAAGAAATTGGCTTTCCAACGGGAATCACGGGCTTTGCTCCTTCCCCCTCCTCCTCGGGCAGCTCATTGATGAGTTTTAAAATGAGTTCATTAGTATTCGATAATTTATTAAATGATATTAAAATTTTATTCATATTTATTTATTTAACTTAACAAATGAACATTATGCAAACAATTTACAAATAGTTCATCAATCATTGTTTGTTTATACTCATAGGGATATTTATTTTTATCATATTGATCGTGAATATATAATTGTGTATAAATGTTAACTGTTTCTATCATAATTCACATGTCACTGGGGTCTGGCACTGGGTCATGGGGTTGTTTTGCCATTCCAATCATGATTCACAAGGATCTCGCCATGCCATTGCAAACACATGCATAAACTTTATGATTCTGCTTTTCACAACCAATTTCAAATGGTTTTTTGATGTCTTAATTCTCGTCTTCCGTGTAAGATTAATCTCTGCAAATCAGGAGCTTCCGGAAACTCCTCTATAGTTAAAAACCCGCAAGAATACCTATGGACACAAATATATTTAGAACCAAAATTTATTAGACCTATCAACTTATGAATAACCATCATGACCATACACATGACATTAATACTGAGAATCATTATAAAACATCTCAATCAAGATCGAGAGAATGTTCTAGAATATCTTTCTTGATACATTTATCTTCTCCCTCCTCGTGGAGAAAAAAGACTCGTATATATGTCAGCAAATATCTGAACGGCCAACAACAGATATAATTCGAATGTTACTGTCAACTGTAATACAAGTTAATTATTTCATATATTGATTGAAAAAAATGTTTATAAGGGAGTATTTATAGTCCTTTTTTCTTCTTATTCTTATTGAGTAATTGAAGTTAAGGTCCAACACACATGTGCCATCGTCGTTCATTCGATTCAATATTATGTCTGTTCGTATTTCCGACATGTATCACACATATTTCTTTTTATTTAAAATTTATAAACAATAAATATTTTATCAATATTTCTAAAGGTTTATTGTTTTCTTATCGTTTAGTATTTGCTTAATATCATATATTATTCGTATAATACTATATGGTTTAAGTCTTGCCTGAAAATGTACAAACTAATCAATCTCGGTGGTAAATGAATTATTGTTATTTTTCGAGATCCTGAGTTCGAACACTATAAATACTAAAGGTATAAATATTTAATGTCAAATGGTTGAGAGTTATGCTTAAACCTATATTGTTTAATATTTATTCAACATTAATAAAAAAAAGTCTTGCATGAGAATTCGTGAGCCTCCTAATGCGGATCTGCTATTACTTGAGATTTGAGAACAAGGTATGTCTGTCTTCTTATGCATATTAATTTATGGCATGGTAACCATTGACATGATATACCACATGATGATGCTGATGGCCAGCATCTACTCGATTTTTGCCCATCCCATCAAGTTTTTTTAATAGTCTAGGATCAACGAGGAACTTAGAAAAATTCTATTTTCCAATATAAACATAATAAAAATTTTATCTAAAATAATTCACATACACTTTTACTTTAAAAATATAATAACAATTATATATATATATATATATATATATATATATTGGATTAAATCTAGAAAAAAGTAATATTAATTGGACTAATATAATTTTTTAACATGATTCATGTATATTTTCTATTTAGGGTAAACTAATTATTTGATCACTCATCTACTACTTAATTTATGTTTTGGTCACTTAACTATTTACGTTTTGGTTTTGTTATGATCATCTACTGTTAATAAGTTTACAATGATGTCAACATGACATTTTTAATTACCCGACGTGGCATTATCTTTTGATGTACATCAATATCATTGCTAATTTTTTAAAGACGGGTTACAAAAACATAACCAAAACGTAACATTAAGTGTGATTTGAAATAAATAATAATTGGGTGACCAAAACAGAAACTAAATGATAAGTGAGTGACTAAATAAATAATTTACCCTTTTAGTCATGGGGTGGGCCATGGCCTATATAGGCCTAGGCCTAGATATGCCATGTCTAGGGTGATTAGAAGGTAGTATCTATTTAGAATATTTCTTAATCATTAACAACACACACCCTACAGATACATCTACTCAAATCTAGAATCTCTAGAAAGATTAACACTCTCCTTAACCATTGTGACAATTGTTGAATTAAAATCCATATTTGTAGGCACACATGTATAATGTACAATATTATCATAAAGTATGACACAAAGTTAAATGATCAATTATGTTACATGTGTCATAGTTATTAAAATGTTATGGAATTAAAGTGTAGATATTGTAAATTATATTTATAATTTGATGAGGAGTAGAATTATAAATACTTAATAAATTGATCTAATATTCATTATATAAAGAGATAGTGATTCCCAAAAAATATGTCAACTTGTATTATTCTCATCCCGTCATAGAGTTTTTACAATAAGAGAAAATTTATCTATTTAGAAGATCACAACCAAATAAAGATTAAAATATTTTAACCTATCAATTAATTTAGATACGTTTCAATATAGATTTCAATATTCTTAAGACTTAGCACTTAAATAAATTATTTTATTTAGTAGGTGAAACTGTATACATATTCTCATCTAATAATTTAATAAATTAATGCATGGTAGTAGTATTATGCGATGCAAATTTATTAAATACTGATCCAATGAAGATAGCATATAATATAAGAGCAGGTAGACCGATGTTTTCAACAAAGTCGTGCTTAGCTTCAAACCCATTACCCTCAACCTTAGTAAATTTATTTTTAATAGTAATTTTATTGTCGAATATTTATTTAAACTTTTAAAAATACTGTTAAGGTTGAAGGTGACTATTTTTTAAATAATATTTAGAAGTTATATTTATATAAATGTGTAATTTTTTAAGTCGAGTTTCGAATTTTTATTTAAATTTAATTATAAATATTTATAATGTTATAGTGTGGATCGATCCAATTTAACGATCTTATCTAACAATATAAGATATACATACATTTCTTCATATTCTTTTTCATATCATAATGTTATTTAATAAATTGTAAAAAAAAGTTTATTGTAAAAAATAGGAATTGAAGTTACATATATGTTCTATAGTTGTAGGTGAGCATGTACTTTAAATTTAGTAAAAAATAAACTTAAAACAAAGAATGAATTAGAGGTGAATATTCGAGTTAGTGGAGTTAACGAGTCATACTTTATCATTCAAAAGTTATTTAAAGGTTTTTTGAGTTGATTTGAAGAATTAAATCAAATTTTACTCCCCATAATTCATACTGTATAAGATTATTAATTTTAATGAACCAAACAATAATATATCATTATAAATTAGTCAATTGAATTTATTTTGAAAATCAGTACATCAAATATAGAAACTTTAAATTATACTCTAATTCTTAGATATATGTCAACTTGGTAACAAATAAATAAACAATGAAACAACATCAAAGTTCAAAATTCTTTTAATATATGGTAGTTTAGAATTATTTTTGTTCATGACATTAATATAATATGTGTGTTTTGCCCTTTATTTAGAAGTCAGCTTTGACATAAGCCTCATTTCATTAATTTCAATTAGTATTATAATAACAACAATAGTCTTTATCGGGTGTGCTTAACCTAATAATTCATATTGTGTGCAAATATTTTTATCAAGTATATTCCTTTCACACATATACGTATGCATGGTTGGAAAATCATATGATAGAATAACAAGAGAATATAAATTTAATTTTCATCATATAAATTGTCTAAGTATATGCACGAACCAACTTACCTCAGTGGTAAAAGGAACCGTTATTGTTCCTAGAAGTTATGAGTTCGAGCACCAGCGACTGTAAGGGTGATTGAGTGTTCATTGTCAAATGGTTGAGAGTATTTAGAACATATATTACTTTGTAACCACCTTTAGCTTAATTAAAAAAATTATAAAAGTATATCGAACCCATCAAGTGATCTCAGTAGTAAAAAGAAAGTTTGTTCTCTCTAGTGATTCTGGGTTCAAACCTACGTCTACAGGGTGTATGTGCGTTGTCAATAGATTAAGATAATTTTGATACTATTTTATAATTGTTCCAAACTATTTAAAAGAAAGTCAAAGTATACCTGTATATTTGTATTTTTACCTGTATATTTCCATAATATGTAACATCTTGCCTATACTTTGGGTCACTCTCGGTCCGCTTGTACACACCTCTATTTGTTTAGTAGATATGTTTAATGAAAAACTCGACTTCCATGTGGTTTAGATTTGTCGTTTAAAAGGATAGGTTTGGAGAAATAATATTGGAACCAACATATTTTGGAAATAAAAAACAAAAACTTTTATGTTCGGTTT